AGTTTCTGACAAAATGTTTTATTTAATGTTATAAATGAGTCTATTTATAAATGTCTAAAATGTTATATATGAGTGTATTTAAAAATATTTATTAATTGAAATGAATTCATTATGTAGCTAAAAAATCATTTGAAAAAAAAAAAACATTTGAAGACTTGTTTAGTCCAGAGTTTTAGAACGAATCACTTGAATGATTCAGACATCAAAATACATTTAACAGTCACTGTTTGACACCTACTGGCATAATGTAACATATACAATCTATATTATCATTAGTTCCAAAGGTTAATTGCTCGTTTTGATTGAGGCTGCCGCAACATCAGAGTCTATATCCGGATTAAATACTTTTCTCCAAATACTTTCACTATTATTTCATGTTTGCAACATAGAAATGTAGCCTACTGTGTAAGTAGACTGTTTGTGTAGGTGTCCAAACTTGGTCCTGGAGGACCGGTGTCCTGAAGAGTTTAGCTCCAACCCCAATTAAACACACCTGAACCAGCTAATCAAGCTCTTACTAGGCATACTAGAAACTTAAAGGCAGGTGTGTTGAGGCAAGTTGGAGCTAAACTCTGCAGGACACTGGCCCTCCAGGACCGAGTTTGGGCACCCTGTAGACTGTTTCAAACATAAAGCTTAGGCTACATGATGAGCGCTGGCTGCACTGCTCTTTCTGGATCAGTGGCTGCGCGACATAGACATAGCGGAATCACCGTCATTTAGGAATAAGATCGTGTGTGTTTTAATCGAGATCGCGATCTTTTAATGATTAAACATGCATACATATGAGCCTATAGCCTATGTTTTTTTTTTTTTTTGTAGCCCATGTCATATTTGTACCAGACCTCAAAAGTAGCCCGGGCGGCCCCCCCGCTTCCGCGGCCCATGCATCTCAGGACAATTCACTGAAAACGAGTGAAACAGAGAAGATGAGAGAGAAGAATGACCTCATTTCAGCAGTATATAAAATATAGTGTATGTGCGTGTTAGACATGAGGGATCACACAGTTGGGAGGGGGAGCGCTATGCTGTCTTAACAGGAGATTGCATGACCTGAATAACAGATGAATGCGTGTGATTTTGCCTCTATATGAATGCGTTTGTGATAAGATCATACAGTTGAGAGGTTTGCCCTCATGTCAGCTAATGAAACGAGAGTGTCTGATGACATCATGCAAGACGCTACCTAAGGCCTGTCAGGACAAACTTCCTGTCCTCATGTAAAACGCTTTTTACCACAGTACTCTTGCTGCATGAGTGATTAGAACACTGCATGCGGATGGAACTTCTCTCTCTTTCTCTCTTTTCTTCTGTCCAAATATGTGCACTTCTCTCTGTCTTCCTTTTCCTAGTTCTCTATGCTTCTCTTTATTTTTTTAATCAGAAATGTGTTGTAGCAGGGTTGTGCCCCATTCAGAATTGTTTGGTGAATGTCTTCTAATTTTATGGTGTTTTTTTAAGTTAGCTACAATATAAGTGCCATTTCAATATTAGATTTCATTATTTCTGTATGCGTAAAAATGTTATCAAACAGACAAGATATGTTAATCCCAACCAGGGTTCTTGAGCTGGTTGTGTAATTTAGATTTTCTTGTATCGAACAGAAATGACTTGACTACATTTTATGTTTACAATATTTCTCAATGATTCTCAATTCTTATTAACTGTCTTCCCATACCGTCAAAGTTTGTGACAGATTTTTGTTACTAAAATAGTAATAAATGAATAAATAAATAAATTCAAATGATAGAAAACTACTTCAATCACAATATCTTTTTTGTTGTTGTTGTTGAGCTGATTATATAACTTGAATTACAAAAAATAACTTAAAGTGAAAATACATGTTTATATTATGAGCCTCCTGTTATATTTTATATATTTATAGTTATATTTTCCATTTTAATTTTATTTTTAGTAACATTTTTGTAATTTTGTTGTTATAAGTTTCTGTTTTTTATTGTTTACATAGTTTTAATTAATTTTTATTTAAGTTTTAGTTATTTTAGTACATCATTTTTAAACTAAATGAAATTGAAAACTGTTACCTTGAAAACTAGCTGAAATAAAATTTTAAGTAACAGTGTGTATATATATATATATATATATAGATTTAGATTTAGTTAACTATAATAACCTTGCATGTGATGCCTTAACATGCTGTCTATATAGGGCCGGTTCACTAGGTTTTGGCAGAAGACTGCAAACGAATGAGTGAGAAGTAAATTAAAAATAATGGAGGAAGTATGTGAGAGATAAAGACAGAGAGATGGGCCAGCGGTTTATTGCCTCTAACTGCATTTCTGTGTGTCTCTATCTGTATTGTATTGTGCAGAGAGGGTGACGGCTAAGATGCAAATCGCTTTTCGCTGCAAACAATATTGCATTTCTGCGAGCTTCATCCATCCTAGAGAGAGCGGCGGAAAGGGAGATGGATGGAGTGCTGAACTTTAATCAGGAGGAAGCCTGGAGCAATGGAGACTTGCTTTGGTCTGTATTTTTTCTGTGTAGGATACAGAATAATCAATCACATGCACACATACACTTACTCATCATGTGACCACGACTGACACTACGATGACAATCCATCTCTTTCCCATCAGCCTTGTTGATGTCCAACTCCCCCACAAATCCCAAAATC